AAATGTATTTAAATTCGGGTAATAAGCCACAATTATCGCAAACTGGCCCAAATTAAAAAAATAAAATGAAGCGAAATTTTTATTCTATATTTTTCGAAATTTTTGAAAAATATGAATACATTGCAATATTTCAGGTAGCTCGTAGTTTAGAATAATTATTCAGGTAATGGGTCGTTTTCTGTATAAATCATTGTATAATGATAAATGGGGAGAGCATGAGATGGACTACGCTATAATTTTGCCTGACTTTGATAAAGAACTAATAAAATTGAATCCGGAAGAAGTAGATGCGGTTGCTGTTGTTTCAACAGTCGAAGAACTAAATCAAATGATAAAAAGTGTGTTTCTGAAATTTTCTCATTTTTGTACTAATTTCTCAAATACTTGCAGTAATATGGAGTATACGTGGAATATCATCTTATGCGTAATGTACTTTAATCATTTTATCATCACTAATGAAGTAAATATGAGTGCGGTTGTTTCACGTAATGTTTTTTCAGGCAATGAATCTTCATTCTCACCGTGGTTTAATTTGCTCATGCAAGGAAATTTCTTGCAAAAATGGTGGAAAAATTTGGATTCGTTAGATGAATTAAGTGATTCTCAACATATACATCGCCTTAGTTAATGCTTTCATCTCATGTGATTAGTGATATGCCTCATTCAGTTTGCTTCATTAGTATTTTAAAATGAAATTATAAAATTCGTGGTAAGAGTTCAGAAAAGTGGAAAATCATATAAACACTGCAGATCTGTTCTGGATCTTTGTTTTTTCATACTCTGTACTTGCTGTATTGTTTGACAGGTTCAGCTTTTTACGTTACTGTTTTTAAATAATAAAGAACTTAATATAGTGTTCATTTATTTTACTTGTAACATCAAGAAATATGGTATATACTTGTTTCATGAAGTGATTTCTCTTTATTACATGTTCTTATCAAAAGTCTTGTTTCGGTGTATTGCAGTGAGGTAGTTCATGCTGGCAATAGCATTTTCGAGATTTTTTTTAAATTTTTGATCCTAATACATAAATGTGCAGCGATAATACATCGTAATGTTCCCATTCCAAGATGTTTGTATATTGAATATCTTTTTTGGAATTGTCTTCAATCTTAAGGGATATGCATACGATCTGGACGCGAGCGAATGCTGTATTCGCATTCATGCTTTCTGTGTTGTCAACTATGACATTTTGTGTTTTTGTCTCCACCGTATGGTTGCCGAATTCTGCGCCAGTTGTTTTATCTGCTAATAATATACGGGTGTAAGTTTTTCCACTAATTTTGTTCGTCAAACATTCTTATCTGGAATTTCCGATAGTATTTTTGCATCAGCAACTTCTCCGAAAACATTTTCTTGCATTGCTGGATGTTCGATCCTGATTTTAAAAATCAAGTCCTGTTTTGCCATGTGTATTCTTTACTACATGATTTGTTTTCTACATAAACTCAAGTAGTAATATTAGTGAATTCAGTGAACAATTGTATGAGGTTGTAGGAAAAGTTTCAAAGACTATGCGTCCGACAATATGCAAAGTGATGTAGCGATGGTAGAACTGAATATTCAGGTTGATGTAACTTCAGTTTTTAACTGGAATGTCAAGCAAGTTTTTCTCTATTTGGTGGCAGAATACAGTACATCAACGGCACCAGTAAATCAGGTATTGATTTTATTTGAAACGGTTTGCTGCAAGATTTTGAAGTTCCTGCAAGTTTTCTGACAATTAATTGCTTGGGAACAAGGAAAGGTTATAGATTTTTATTATGAACACGAAACTGTGTGTACCGGCAAATGACTTGTCCTGGAGATTCAAAGTACCTTGTAGTTTGTGAATATTTTACCTTCAATGGTCGGCGCAAAGTATTCCGAAGTTAATTTCTAATAACTAAAATATACTAGTAGGTGCGTGAAGCATCTTTTTTAGTGGCAGTGTTGTATTGTAGACTACAAAACAAATAATTGTCACTTCAACTATGACAAGAACAAGTTCGTGTTAATTGTAGCTACTTCGTATTTAATAGGAACATCACAAATGGGATCTTTGATGTATTAAATAGTTGAGAGTAAATTATGTATACGCACCTGCTGCACACAGCTAAAGGTAAATTGATTTGTCAAATGAAAAAGAATTATTTTGTTTGCTAAAACCTCATCAATAATTAACTTAATAATTTTGAATTTAAGGTTGTACTCTGGGATAAGATTATTAGACGCGGCGAATGGTCGACAGTTCACGAGGAGGGTGTAACACCAAAATACTACTTCATGGATGATGGTACCAATCTATTAAACCACAAAAATGTTACTCTTGTATTAAGATGGAATGTAGTCCCTAATGCAGGTTATCTTGCACTAGCACAGGGCGAAGGACAACAACGGATAGAATTTCCATCCAAGTATTATAGTGGTCGATTCTAGGAAGTAAATGACAAATATCAACCAAAACATTTGTGCTGTTTCCTCTCTTCTGATTTTACGGTTTTTCATGGTTCCGTTCGTCACTCTTTATATTTCCACAAGAAAAATATTCCTTCTAAATAAACAGCGAAATTTGATATATTTATTTGATATGATTATTGTTTGGATAGTTTATTTGTTACTACATCTTTGTTTTAATATTATCAAAACTATTATCACTTTCGATTATGTGAATAAGCTGCCGCAAGTTGTTTAGTTTTTACAATAACCTAATGACTTGCAACTTATTTTACCATAATGAAAGTCGTATTTCACGCCGTTCAGTGTAGTCTAGTTCTTGTGCATAAGAAATGCATTCTTTCAATCATATCAGAATTATTGCAACATTCTCTGAACTACCGATGATTTTTGATCCTTTGTTACAGCCATTCAGATGTAAATGTTAACATGTCAAGTTCCGTGATTCTACGTTAAGACAGGGTTAAAAAATAAAGGCATTATTTGTGGTAGCTACATTTCGCTGCTAATTACAGTTTAAAATAGTTACATATTTGAAGTCAATAAGAATGAAGGTTTGTACTTCTGGTAATCAATGGTGCTAAGTGACATGCACTGGGTAGTATGACCTTGCCTTGAACTTTTGTTATCGAAGAAAATGAAGATGGCATGTCGCTGCATTCTTGTTGTTTATTATTTCGTGACTGGGCAATATTTCACGGTTAAGACATGCATTTTTTGTTGAGAATGCGCCGTGTTGATTTTACTCAGTATTTCTCAGCATTATGGTTGTATTCGTAGTTTGCTATTGTGTTCAGCCCTGAAATTCATTATTTAAAACATTCTGAACTTGTTTTCTTGAGAAGACTTGTTCTTTCCAAGTCATGCTTTCAAATTTATCATGCTAGAGTATAGACTTGGACAATAGTGTGTAACGGTTTTTGTTTCATGAAAACACTTGGGAAGGTTATTTTTACATTTTGCATGAATTTACTGAAAATGTTCTCTTCTTTAATGTTGAATATTTACACTAGTTCTCATATTCAAAC